GCCAGAAGAGGGAAATGTGGAGCGGCTGATGACGACCCCTCGCTGTCCCGTCACCTCCTGCATGGCTCTGGTTGGAGGGCAACAGGAGGTGAACTAAGGGCACGGCCAAGGGAGCAAAGGCCAGAGAGCTCCTGCTCCCAGAGCCCTTGAGCCTAGTCAATGTTTGCTGCGTGATTGGAGGGAACATGGGAATCTAAGCTGCAATGGGGGCTCCACTGATCCCCAGATAATGGAGATACCGAGTCACGTGTTCTCACAGTGCTTTACAAAGAACTTCACTGTAGCGATCTCACTGAAGTGCCCCAAAAATAGAAAGAAATCACTAAATCTTGCTATTGGCTTGCTCAGTACTTAGTTTTCTATATTTGAGGAGGAACACAGTGAAGATCATAAGACTGTCCTTAGAAGAATTCATACCATTCGTTGAGTTTGCAAAGCAGGACTGTGCTAATTCAGTAGAATACCAATTACCCTCCACCAAGAATGGCCCAAAATAAAAAAAGTCTCCAAAGATGATTCACTTTGAAATAAAGGGGAGAGATGCCCAGTCTCTGTGTTCCCTTCACCTCCTGTAACTACAGCTATTGCACCGCCGGCTGCCCTGTGTGATCATTATGGTGTCTCCATGTGTGTCGTTCCCACCAGGATCATTAAGTTTTTCACTGGTGGGACCATGTCTTATTTAAATCTGGCCTCCTCCTTTTCATCAGAGGGCCTGGCTCCACGTCAATGAGTATTTGTTTAATAAGAATCATTACACGGTTGCCATGAGAATCTTCTTAACCCCTGGAATGGGAATGAAAGAAAACTAGGGTGGCTATGTCAGTCCCTGGCAATCCCTCCGGGTTGTGACAGCTGGAGAAGGCAGAGACTCACTCGTATGTGGGTCTGGTCTGGGACCACCCGTACAGGTTGTGCACGTTGTAGTGCTGCACCGGGGAGCCGTCTGGGAGGATCTGCTGACTCTCCATGCACAGGGTCTTGCTGCTCAGGCCCCTGTCCCTGGACTCCAAATCTGAGGAGGAAGAACTGGTGAGGTGAAATCCAGCCCTGATTCTGTTTATCCCTGACCTCTCCTCAAGGGATTAGACATTGGATCTTAAGACTGACTTGAGTCCTGCCTGGGTCACTCTCCATCTTCCCAGAGACATGAGCACAGAGCCCCCAGCTCTGAGCTGCTATGGCACCTGCAGTGTTTCCAACATCAAGTTCACTGAAGAAAGCAGAGGTATCAGGAAGAACGTACAGCTGTCGAATACTACATGACAGACTCTGATTTTGGCTTTTGATGTGTCAATTATTTCATGTAATTCTTATAATTCTATGAAGAAGACCTCATTATCTGTCTTTTACAGTACAGCAAACCGAAATTCGGAAATATTGCATAATCTGTGAAAAGTCACAAAACTCCTAGAGAGAATAATTTCTGGAGCTAAGATATGAACCCAAGTATAACTCCAAAGTCCATCAGCTCCGCAATAATGACAAGCCAATAATTTCCACCCATTGATGACACCAAAAAATTCCTGTGATGGAATTCACATAAGCCTAAAAAACTAACAAGCCTAAGTGTGAGAACCCTTTGGTGGCATGAGCACTGCTAAGTGATTTCTGGACAAATTCAAGAAATTTGTTCAATGAGTCTAGTCACTTGCACTTGCCCAGCTGGGTGAAGCATGTGCAGAGCTTTTGTCTCTGGTCCCCAGTAAACCACAGCAGCCTTAAGGATGTGCCCTGAGCTATCCAGGCACACCCCTGGCCTTGGAGCTCCTCCAGTGTAATCCTTCTTCCAATCATGGCTCTGCCAAACAAGGAGGCCAAGGCTTCTTACATGGCATGTAGGGAGGGCGGTTCAGAGAGGTCTCCCTGCAGCCTGGAGAAACTGCCCCATTCACGAAGCTTGATGGTTCATTCATATCCTAGAAATACCAAACACAGACATACCTCACTCTTTAAGATAATTACATCCGGCCAATTCTGAGCCAAGGAAGCAGTGAATAAATTGTTCAACATCCAGTAACCCCTGTAGATGCCAGCCCTGGGAGCTTCATCAAATCCTAGTGATAACTGGCTAGAAAGATTAATTCACCCCTGCAGAACAACTGGCTAGAGGGTTAAAAAAAAAATCTCTCTCAAGGTGGGCGTGAGGCAGTGAAAGTTCCAAGAAATTCCTAGTCAATTGCCTCAGAGGTTTTATAGTAGGAACGTCAGGTCTGGTATAAGGTGTGAGGGCTATCAGGCTGTTCCCCTCCTGAGAGAAGGAAGTGTCTGATGTGTCCAAAGTCTTCCTTGGACAATGACTATCCTCTTGACTGAAGGTCAGTGGTCCATATACTCAGGCACACAAAGATAGACAAGTGCCACAGGTACACACACACACACACACACACACACACACACACTTACAATCCATA